AAAACTCTCATTTTTAAAAGGAAAAACAATGACTAAACATAAACCACTTGCAAGTCTTTGGTTGAGGGCTTCGATCTGGCATTTGAAAAGTCCCATCCCCATGCTATCAATGGAGGACAGACCACCTACTGTGAAAAAGCTTACTTCTTCAGAGAGATGAGTCTCTCTTTTGGAATTTTAGTATTTTGTTTCAGGAGGCCATTTTTGCCAAGTTGTGTGTCACAGCCATGAATAAGATACAACTCCAACCCATACTAAGAGCAAATGGCTCTGAAGTGCTCCCTGATAAAGAAGTAGAACTCAAGAATTTATGAGAAGTTGCAATTTAAGAAAAGATATGAAAAAGTTACATTTATTTAAGTTTAAGTATTAAACATTATTTTAGACACAGAATATGTGTCTATGACATATTATACCATTTTATTGGGCAATTTTCAAACTATCCATATGTCAGACATTGTGTGAAGTGTTTTTCATGCACTGTTCCATTTAATTTTCACAACAACCATATCAGGAAGGTATTACTATCCCTCTTCTAATAACAGAGAAATGAGCGCACAAAAGTTATGCTACCTTCTGGAAACCCTAAAGCTAGTAAGTAACCCCAGTCTGTCTGAAGTCCATATTTTTCATTACTCTACATATAAACTAAAACATCTTAAGGCTCTTAAATAAGTTCCTAAAAGACTAAGTTGTGAAAACTTTCAGAAGACCACAGGGAAATATACCATCATTTCAAAAATAAACTTCAAAGTTTTATAAATAAAAAAATAAAGCATTGCCTTTAGGTTCATGTTAAAAGCAGCTTATTTATTATTGTTATCATTAATTCTTTTAAGGAACTGAAAACATTTCGAAACAAGTTTTGGAAATCCACTAGGATTTGGTAAGATCATGATCAAATGTTCACCAAGTTCCCATTATGGGTAGTTACTATTATGTGCTGGGACACAGGGATTCGTAAGGAACAGTTCTCGCTTTCCAAATGTCTGGTAGTGTTGGTGGGGATGTGAGTACAGTAACAGAACACAAGTAATACAATATGGCAAGTGCAGTAATAGGTAAGCATGGAGTATTACAGAAAAGTGAGGCACAGTGCCTAATCCAGCCAGTGGGTGGTAGGAAGCACAATGGAGGAAGAAGAGCAAAGAGCTAGCTAGCTGGCTGAATGTTCTGCTTATTTCCAGGCAGGGAGCAAAGCATGAGCCCAGACATAGATGTAAGAAGTGGCACAACAATGTGGTGCAGGGGGTGACTCATCAGAAGGTCAGGACTGCTGAAGTGTGGAGTGGGAGGTGGGGAAGGGAGACAGGTAAGACTGGAGACAGGGGCAGGGTCCAGAGCATGAAGAAATCTAAAACAGTGAAGACCTTTAAGCAGGTAAGTGACCTGATCAGAACATCTTTTATCTGAAGCCCTTAGAGAGTGTGAAGTAGTCTTGGAGCCATGTGGCAACAGGTTTAATACCTGGTTGTGTAAACTTTGACAAGATAGGAAATCTTTTTCCCCTTGCCTCTTCTTTTTAAATTGACAAATAAAAAATATGTTTATAGTATGCAACATGATGTTTTGAGATATGTATAATGGCTAAATCAAGCTATTTGTGATGAGAACAGAGATATGAAATTTTCTAGTCCTCAGTCTTGTCAACTGTTAAATGGGAAGTAAAAGAGAAAATGAATGTACAACACTGGAACAGAGTACTCAGTAAATAGTGGCTCTTATTATTAACTGACAAAATTCTACGATGGCCTGCTGTAGGGTGTGGGTGAGAGAGAGGGAGGAGCCAGTGACGAGCTCCATCCAGGTCTAGGCTGGGTGACTGAAAGGCTGTGGCTGATGCACTTCTGACAAAGAGAATACAGAGGCAGAGTCTAGAAATGAGGGTCATACAAAGGAACAGGTGCCTGTGTGTGTGCAGGGGTGGATACCCACAAGGTCAATGGGCAAGTCTTAAGTCTGGGTACAGGCATGACTAGGAATTAGAGAAGAAGGAATCGTGACTCATATTGTGAAAAGGCAAGAGATCACAAGGAGTGCAAGTTCAGTCAGAAGAACAATGAGCCAGGACATGATCTGAGAATTTCCACAACTAAGGGGCAAGGGGAGAAAGAGAGGCACCCAACAAAAAAAGAAAAGAACCAGATATCCAAGAAAAACTAGGAAAGCTCAGTACAATGAAAACTGAAGGAGCAGGACCTCAAGGAGATAGTCCTCAGAGAAGCCCAGCATAGCTGAGAAATCCAGCCATGGAATTTAGCAGAAACAGTCATTGATTTTGCACCAGAAGGGAATTTTCACTGGACAAGGGGACAGATGCCCAACTGCTGGGTTAAAGTGTAAATGACAGTGAGGAAGAGTCTGCCATAAATCTGGTAAGAAGGACAGAGAGGAATTATGTAGTGAGAGGTCAGAATGTAGGCTCAAAAGTTAGGGTCAACATTATTTCTCAGATACAGAGCTCTAAGCAGTCTGTGAGCTGAGAAAAAAATGAAGTTGGATGGCAAAGCGTGATGATACGGGAGAGATTCACTGTCAGTACAAGGTACCTGAGGAAACAAGCAGGATTCTGCAAGAGTCTCCTGCGTGTCAGGCACCACTCAAGGCCCTGGAGATGCAGAGATGAGTCAGAATCTGCCCCTGAGTAGCTGACAGTCTGATGGGGAAGCAAAACTGTGAACAAACCTTCTAGACAGAGTGTGACAGGGATGCCAGTCCTCAGGATGCACTATGCCAGAGAAGCCAGGGGTGCCCACCTAACGGAGTTTCCTGAACCTAAGTCTGTTACTCACCTCTTGACTCCTGCTGCCCAACATGGGGGCAGGCCTACTAGGTACTTGATGATTTTTTTTTTTGGGGGCATGGGGGATTAACAAGCAAATAAAAATACATTTGTCAGAAACTTTATTCTCAGGAATAGAAGTTTTATGAAAAAGTGTAAGAGCATATTCTATCTATCTATCTAAGATAGATAAAGGGATTTGGGTGCTAAAATAATTAAATATTAATTAAAATAATAGTACACATGCTCAATGCTACAGTCTGAATGCTTTTGGCTCCCAACAATTCAATATTGTTGAAACCCAGTTCTCAACACAATCCTATTAAGTGGTAAGGTCTTCAGGGAGTGATTAGATCATGAGGATGCTCATAAATATGATTAGTGCCCTCACAAAAAGAGACCCCAGGGAGCTTCTTTGGCCCTTATGCCACATGAGGACATAGTAAGAAGGTACTGTCTATGAGGCTCAGGCCCTCAACCAGACACCAAATCTGCCAGCACCTTGATCTTGGAATTCTCAGCATCCAGAATTGTGAGAAGTAAATGTTTGTTGTTTATAAGCTATCTGGTTTATGGAAAGACACTCCTTGACTTACTACGGAATTATGGCCCAACAAACTCAGCATAAGATGAGAATATAGTAAGTTGAGAATGCATTTAATACACCTAACCTACCACACATCCTAGATCAAGCAACACAGTGCAAGGCAGAGTATGGATTGTTTCCCCTTGTGATCATGTGGCTGATGGGGAGCTACAGCTCACCACTGCCCAGCCTTGCCACACTCCATTATCGCTAGCCAGGGAAAAGATTGCAATTCAAAGTACAGTTTCTACCAAATGCATATTGTCTTATACCACAATATAGGTGAAATATTAAAAAAGTCGAACCACCATAAGTAGAGGGCTGTCTGTACTTTATTATGGCAGTCCATACAGACTAAGAAACTTGGAAAATATGCATCAAAGAGCTTTATAGAGAGGCAGCTGGAGGTTAAGAAAGTGGGGGATGAGGAGTATATAGTTCAATCATGTAGAGAAAGCCTAAAATGTTTATCAAACTCTCTCTGGCTAAATCTGTCTCCCAATTTGCTAGCCTATGCTTAATTTATTTAATCATTTAAGAAGGGATAAAATTTTTCCATCTCAAAATTGCAGATAAAAGACTAAGAAGGAAATGTGTGTAAGACTGAACGTAAGCCATTTGTCATAAAATAAAATCAGCTGGGCAGACTGTGGAGTCAGAGGTTCCAAATGAGGTAGATTCACTAGCTGTGTAACCTGGGTCAGGTCATTTAATCTTCTCTAGAAAAGCAGACCATATGACAGTTGAGCTCCCAAGCCCCTTTCAAATCTGTCCTTCAAAAGTTCTAAAGCCTTTTGGGGAATCAGAAATTCCTCTGAGAGTCTAATGAAAGGTATGAATTCTCCTCTCTCCACCCCCCAAATAAACAGACACATGCATACAAAATTCTGCACATCACTCAAGGGTCCTGAACTATATCCACAGACCCCCAAGCCAGAAGTGGAAATCATCAAAGGTGCAACTCTTCATAATGAAGATGCTTTGTCTTCAGTTCCAGAACAAAACACAATGACACCACCCCCTATCCCAACAAAAAGAGAAAGATAAACACACTGTGTCTTGCTTGTAGTAGAAATCCCTTACATTTATATTACAAACACTTATACTTTCATTTACATATCATATTCATTTGGGAGGTGGCATACACCATGCTCCTATTTTAAGGATAAGCAGAGAATATATTATTTAAGTAATCAGAGAGGGCTTTCCAACACACCCCAGCACCAGGACCCAAGCCATACTTCTAAAAACACACGAATGTATCCTTATACAAGAAGGGGAACTCAGTTCTTTATTTAGAATTTTATTGATTTGTTTTATTTTTTGGAGGTATTGGGGGGTTGAACTCAGGGCCTCACACTTAGCTGGGCAGGCACTCCGCCAGTCCAAGACACTTCTTTTAAATTGATAAAGAACTGTGACAAATAATAAAGTGTTCAGCGATAACAACTAAAAAGTACCTATGATTTTAGAAAACAGAAGCCATTCCAATTTGAGCAATTTTATAAAATGATTAAATTTTATGGTTTAATTTTTTGAATATTCATTAAGAATCAAATCAAGCCTATCATCCATGACTTTTAAAAAGAGGCAAAATTCACATACACGATAAGGAAAAAGTTCCATACTTACCTATAGCACAATATAAAATCTAGAGGGAAAAAAAAGGAGAAAAAAATAAGTAAGGATCAAATATTATAGCTTAATTTCATATCAGCTTTTTTCAGTAAGAATAGAACAGTGCCTGCCAGCAATACTGAATATGAAAAACAAACATTCCATTTTTAAACTTGGGTACAGGCTACACAACAAAACATAAATTCTTGCTGCCTTTTTGTTTGTTTCTTCATTTTTAGTTTATATATCTTTGGAAGATATCCTAAGGAAGATTTAATCTTCACTCAGTGGTTTGTCAGATATCAAGGACCTCTTTTATAACACATAAACTCACAAAAGCAGCAAGGATATAAGGTCTCCTATGTCCCATACTCTGCAGAACAGAACTGTCACAGACCATGGAATGCGTGATCAGAGGTCATTTGCTCCTCTTGCCCAGCAGACCCCTTCAATGCAGACGTTCATTCTACCGAGCTCCACCCTCAGTCTCCATCTTGCCCCCTTCAGTGATCTCACTACAGAAGTGTTCCCTGGTCCAGTTCTAACCCTACACCTTCAAAATCCAGGTCAATATTCTTAGCTACCTCCAGCTAGCATATCAGCAGCAGCCCAAACATGGCTGGCCTTGATGGGAAGCCCATCCTTTCATTCCTTCCCATGCTATACCTATGATCACCTAGTTCCCAGTCTGTTAGTTTCAACTTCTCCTCTCCTCCAAGTTTAACTGCTCTCCAAGACCTGTTTTTACTTTCATTGCCTTGAGTGAGATTTCTACTGTTTCAATGGTCACCCAACTGTCTGATTTGGCACTTCTAAATCCCCTTCCGATCTATCCTCTGCATAGCATTGCTTTATCCCTGGTGATTGTGGTATTTAAAAAAAAAAAAAGTAATTTGAAGCCATCTACAAGGCTGATTTAGTGACCAAAGATTTTCTAGATGATAAGACCTCAGTTATTGTATCGCTTTTTAGAATTTTTACAAAACTTCTCTAGCAGTCTTGTATGTACTACTTGATTCTAGCAATAATTCAGGCAGATAGGCAGGATATCTCTACTTGCAGATGAAAAACCAAGGCTTAGAAAAGTTGTATAAACTGCCCAAGGTAGGATATGAAGGCCAGGACTAAGAGTCTTGGTTTTATTTGTATTCTACTTCTTTTTTTAATGCAGTGGTGGAGCTTGAACTCATAGCCTTAAGTCATGCCTCTAGCCCTTTTCACTTTTCAGTTTATTTTTCAGGTAGGGTCTTGTGTTTTTGTTCAGGGCTGGCCTGGTACTGTGATCCCCCTAACTATGCCTCCTATGTAGCTGAGATTATAGGTGTGTACCATCACAGCCAGGTTATTGCTGGGATGGGGGTCTAGCTTTTTCCTCTGGACTGGCCTCAAACCTTGATCCTCTCAATCTTTATCTGTCAAATAGCTGGGATTACAGGTGTGAGCCACCAATTCATCATTTTTTTTCTTTCTTTCTTTCTTTTTTTTTTTTTTTTTTTTTTTGTAAGGGCAAAGGGGAAACAGCTTAGATTAAAAAAACCAAGCTGAACAAATTTCCTGGTAACTGAGAAGAGAACAAAAGAATTTCCATGCTGTGAGTCAAATATCTTTTTCAAAAGGAGGTGCTGCTAAGCATCTCAAATGTGGGATTATTAAGATAAACAGAATCTCCCGCTGCAGAGTGAGGAAAACTAAAAGATATATGTAGATTAAAATGAGGAATGAAGAGTATCCTTTGAGGCAAGAAGACAGCAGGCATGCCTATTCTATTCATGTAGGTGACAAGACAGCCAGGCTGCTGACTACAGGAAAGGAATGAAACAGCTTAGTGTCATCATATTTTCCCTGCAGGACAGAAGACTAGGTCTCAGTCCTGTCAGACTGAGCCATCCCTTTTTAAGCACACATACTTTATAATGCCTTTACTATCCTGAAATGAAATTTATAGATAAAATTCTTTTTAAAATATGTATTTCAAAATACAAATGTTTGGGAATATAAAGACAACCAGCCAGTCAGATATACATGCAAACTTATGATAAATAAGCTTGGATTTAAAAATAAAATCATTGGAAATCACTCTGGACAAGTATAGGAAAATAAAAGACCAGAGGTACAGACTAACATAACACGAGTAAGAAAACAGTATTGAGGTAAGTAACAATGGAAATGTAACAAACTAGAGAAACTGAAGAAATGAGAGTTGGATTTAAAAAAAAATTTTTTGGAGATATTAGGGTTTTTTTTTTAATTTTTATTTTATTCATATGTGCATACAATGTTTGGGTCATTTCTCTCCCCTTCCCCCACCCCCACCCTTATCCCCGCTCCGCCCCCTCCCTCTTCCCCCCACCCCTTCTTACCCAGCAGAAACTATTTTGCCCTTACCTCTAATTTTGTTGAAGAGAGAGTATAAGCAATAATAGGAAGGAACAAGGGTTTTTGCTAGTTGAGATAAGGACAGCTATACAGGGAGTTGACTCGCATTGATTTCCTATGCATGTGTGTTACTTTCTAAGTTAATTCTTCTTGAATTAACCTTTTCTCTAGTCCCTGGTCCCCTTCTCCTATTGACCTCAGTTGCTTTTAAGGTATCTGCTTTAGTTTCTCTGCGTTGAGAGCAACAAATGCTATCTAGTTTTTTAGGTGTCTTACCTATCCTCACCCTCCCTTGGTGCTCTTGCTTATCATGGCGATCAAAGTCCAATCCCCTTGTTGTGTTTGCCCTTGATCTAATGTCCACAGATGAGGGAGAACATACGATTTTTGGTCTTTTGGGCCAGGCTAACCTCACTCAGAATGATGTTCTCCAATCCATCTATTTACCAGCAAATGATAACATTTCGTTCTTCTTCATGGCTGCATAAAATTCCAATGCATTAAACATCACATTTTCTTAATCCATTCATCAGTGGTGGGGCATCTTGGCTGTTACCATAACTTGGCTATTGAGAATAGTGCTGCAATAAACATGGGTATGCAGGTGCCTCTGGAGTAACCTGTGCCACAGTCTTTTGGGTATATCCCCGAGAGTGAGTGGTATTGCTGGATCATATGGTAGATCAATGTTTAGCTTTTTAAGTAACCTCCAAATTTTTTTCCAGAGTGGTTGTACTAGTTTACATTCCCACCAGCAGTGTAAGAGGGTTCCTTTTTCCCTGCATCCTCGCCAACACCTGTTGTTAGTGGTGTTGCTAATGATGGCTATTCTAACAGGGGTGAGGTGGAATCTTAGTGTGGTTTTAATTTGCATTTCTTTTATTGCTAGAGATGATGATCATTTTTTCATGTTTTTTGGCCATTTGAATTTCTTCTTTGAGAAAGTTCTGTTTAGTTCACTTGCCCATTTCTTTATTGGTTCATTAGTTTTGGGAGAATTTAGTTTTTTAAGTTCCCTATATATTCTGGTTATCAGTCCTTTGTCTGATGTGTAGCTGGCAAATATTTTCTCCCACTCTGTGGGTGTTCTCTTCAGTTTAGAGACCATTTCTTTGTTGAGCAGAAGCTTTTTAGTTTTATGAAGGTCCCATTTATCTATGCTATCTCTTAGTTGCTGTGCTGCTGGGGTTCCATTGAGAAAGTTCTTCCTATACCTATAATTCCAGAGTATTTCCTACTCTTTCCTGTATCAACTTTAGAGTTTGGGTCTGATATTAAGATCCTTGATCCATTTTGAGTTAATCTTGGTATAGGGTGATATACATGGATCTAGTTTCAGTTTTTTGCAGACTGCTAACCAGTTTTCCCAGCAGTTTTTGTTGAAGAGGCTGCTTTTCTCCATGTATATTTTTAGCGCCTTTGTCAAAGACAAGTTGGTTATAGTTGTGTGGCTTCATATCTGGGTCCTCTATTCTGTTCCACTGGTCTTCGTGTCTGTTTTTGTGCCAATACCATGCTGTTTTTATTGTTATTGCTTTGTAATACAGTTTGAATGCCTCCAGCATTGTTCTTTTGACTGAGTATTGCCTTGGCTATTCGTGGCCTCTTGTGTTTCCATATAAATTTCACGGTAGATTTTTCAATCTCTTTAATGAATGTCATTGGAATTTTGATGGGAATTGCATTAAATATGTAGATTACTTTTGGGAGTATAGACATTTTTACTATGTTGATTCTACCAATCCATGAGCATGGTAGATCTCTCCACTTTCTATAGTCTTCCTCAGTCTCTTTCTTCAGAAGTTTATAGTTTTCCTTGTAGAGGCTGTTCACATCCTTTGTTAGGTTTACACCTAGGTATTTGATTTTTTTTGAGTCTATTGTAAATGGAATTGTTTTCATATATTCTTTCTCAGTTTGTTCATTATTAGTGTATAGAAATGCTAATGATTTTTCAATGTTGATTTTATATCCTGCTACATATTTTATATGTAGCTATTGATGGTGTCTAGGAGCTTTTGAGTAGAGTTTTTTGGGTCTTTAAGGTATAGGATCCTATCATCTGAAAATAGGGAAAAATTTTGACAGTTTCTTTACCTATTTGTATTCCTTTTATTCCTTCTTCTTGCCTAATTGCTCTGGCTAGGAATTCCAGTACTATGTTGAATAGAGTGGAGATAGTGGGCATCCTTGTCTCATTCCTGATTTTAGAGGGAATGGTTTCAGTTTTTCTCTGTTAAGTATAATGCTGGCTGTAGGTTTGTCATATATAGCTCTTATAATGTTGAGGTACTTTCCTTCTAGTCCTAGTTTTCTTAGAGCTTTTATCATGAAATGGTGTTGGATCTTATCAAAGGCTTTTTCTGCATCTATTGAGATGATCAAGTGGTTTTTGTCTTTGCTTCTGTTAATGTGGTTTATTATGTTTATTGATTTTCGTATGTTGAACCACCCCTGCATTCCTGGGATGAAGCCTGCTTGGTTGTGGTGAATGATCTTTTTGATGTGTTGTTGAATTAGGTTTGCCATTATTTTATTGAGGATTTTTGCATCAATGTTCATTAAGGAGATTGGCCTATAGTTCTCCTTTTTGGAGGTATCATTGCCTGGTTTTGGGATATGTGCAATACTGGCTTCATAAAATGTGTTAGGCAGTTT